ACCACTCTTTGGGCCAAAGACTTGGGCATCGCTCTGACTCCACTGCTCTTCTCCAAGCCCACAGTGGGTTTTCGCCGGATCCTATAAACTGCAGCTCAGAGCTCATCCAAAGTCCGGAGCCTGGGTGTCTGTTTTTTGCCACCATTTTGTCTATGCTCCCATCCCTTCCGCCGGGGTTACCAAACAGCCTCCTGTCTTACATCCTTGCTCCTACCTGAGGCCCCTTAGTCTACCCTCCAGAGCATCACTTTAGAGCAGACAGCAGATCCTGCCATCCCTCTCCTCACACCCACAGATCAGCATCGAAGCCTGCCCACTTCAGCCCTCCTTCCAATGCCTTGGACATGCCAGGTTTACCATCAACTCAAGGTCAAGGTTGGTGCATTTGCCCTTCCTGTGCCCTTTATGCCTTTCCCATAGCCATCACAGAGCATAATCCCTCCCTGCCTGCTACTTTCTCCCAGGCTCCCTCCCCAGCCACACCGTGTGTGACTGCAAACCCAGCGCTCCTCCTGGTGCTCGCTGTTCTCGCTCCGCTTTATTTTGCTGCCTAGTGTTGGCTCCCCCATGCTCTGCTCATTTGCTGTCTCTCCTTTGCTAAAATATACGCCTATGGAGGTAGGTCTGTTTGCCACTATTTCCCTTGCACAGAATCATCATGGGCACATAGAATGCACTCATACATTTTATTAGATAAGTAGACCAATGAATGGTTGGCGTATCAGGGGTTTCCATAGCAGTGTTACCAGGGACACAAGAGTAAGTTCTTTTTATCACTGGAAATAAGACCACAAGTAATCTTTATTCCATGTGCTGGTGCTGCCAAATGTCTCAGGAGCCCAATCAGCGTGTTCGGGAAGGTGTCTACTGAGTGCACCCCTCAGCACGTGACCCTGCCCTGCACTGCCCAGGGCCAGACGGGCCTCAGTGACTCACACATAGATACCCACTGGGCAGTTATTTCAACCCAGGTGCTGCTTATTGGGGAGCTGCCAGGAGCACAGACCAAGGGGAGGCAGCTGGGGTTCCAGCTGCCATGGCCAGCTCCTGACCAGGGGGGAGCACACACTGACAGAGTGAACAGAGGGAGGGAGCTGAGCCAGGGCAGACAGCTGGAAGTAAGGTAGGCTGCTGTCCTTCAAAGCCCAGCCCAGTGATAATGAGGTCCCTGTCCTTCTGCCCCAGGAACAACAGGTGTGTGTCCTGGGCAGCCCTGGACAGGGCAGGTAGTCTGGGACTTGGATGCCAAATGATGTGTGATGCAGACTCCCCAGGAACCATGACTGGATTCTTAGAGTTTCACCTAAGGGTGCAGTTTATTCTTTATGGTTTAAATGTAGTCTTTCTACTGTCTACACCTAGCAGCCAGTTTAAAAAAAATAAAAAATAAAAACTTCAGGGGAACAGATGGTGGTGCAACAGTAAAACACAATGCTTTGCAATGATGGCCCACAAGGAAAGGTTCCAGGTTCAAGTCCAGAAACCTCCCTGAGTACACCAGACATGCATGTGCCCATAATCTGGGCCTGGCTGATGTTGAGGTGAATCACAGCATCAAGACTGGGGACACTGTCTATTTCTCTCTCTGTCTTTCTTGCTCATAGAATAATTAAATGAATATGCTTTTAAAAGAAAAGGGAAAACACTCAGTAGTCTACACAGGACCAGATAACTGGCTTGGTTCATGAGTCAGAAATCCCTCAGGAGCAAAGACTTACCTCCCCTGTTATAGCCCAGCAACTTGTAGTTAAACGAGTGTAGCGGAAAATGCATTCACCTACCTGTTCCTGAGTTCTCCTGGGATACAATGTCGGATTGGTGGGCACTAGTATATTTCATGCATAAACGTTGGAATTTCGCTTTTAAACAGCTTAATGATAATTGTACATGTGCCCTGAGCAAGGCTGCATGAATAACTAAAATGTCAAATGTCTTTGTTCCGGCTGCTATTCTAGCAACTCTGCAGGTCTGCTAAGCATGAGCCACATGCCAATTAGAATCTCCAATGGTCAAGTATAAATGTCTTTGTTTCATAAAAATGAAAGAATGAGTTCATTACCACTTAAACTCCCTCTAGAAGAAATAATCTTTTAAAAACTTAAGATCCACGAGTAGAAAGGTTGAGTCATTAAAGGCGCTCCTCCCTAAAGATTACTTTCTTGCTTTTGAATAGAACCAATCCAAAGACATAGTTCCACAGGACCAACCTGGAATTCCCACTGGAACCAAAATCCCAGCGAGCCTGAGACATCACTCTAGTTGTAAAGGCTGCAGACATACATCAAGTCTGAAAGAGGGAGCGTCTCAAGAGTGATGGTGTCTCAGGAACCAGCAGTTAGCATAATGGCTATGTTGCTGGACTCCCACGTAGTTGACTGCGGTTCACGTCCCGACCTGGTGGCTTAAAACTCACGCAGGGCACGTGTGCGTGCGTGCCTAAGATCCCGAGAGGAGAATGGAGGAGAAGGGATTGTGGCATGACCATCCCCTCTGGGGGGTGATTTCTTGCTTTCTGTCTCTATGTCTCTCTCTGTCTGTCTGGCAAGTGCACGCGCCCTATAGTGAAAAACCTCTCCAAAAACAAATAAATAAATAAAAGAAAGAAAGTAAGAGTGATGGTGTCTGCAGGGGCTTCTGTGATAGGACAAGGAATCATCTTGGCTTCCAAAGGGAGGAACCCCAGCTACAGGTTCCTTGGCACTGAGGACGGGAGAGCGCAGCAGTCACAGGCCCAGGGAGATAGCTGCTCTCTGAAGTCTCTCCCTTAACTGAGCCATGCCCCAGCTACAGAAGGCAACCACAAGTCCTGCACTTGAAGCACAGCCCTGACTGCAGAAAATTGAATTCATTAAAGGAAGTAGACATACACACACACATATGCGTATATACATATGTGTGTGAATATGTGCATACATGTGAGTGCATATCTATGTGTATATATGTATATATAATGGGATCTGAATCTTATACCGAGCATCTGCTTTTTAACCAAAAAATTAATTAGTAAACATGAATTAACTCATTGGGACCTGTGCCTCATATTCACTTGGGAAAATATCCTTTGTCCCTTAGGATGGCCGGCGCAGTTCCAGAGCTGAGCAACAGGCCATTACAGGCACAAAGCGGGTGAATTCAGGCTGTTCTTCCCCTTTCTCCAGGACTATACTCTGTGATGGTGTGTCTGTGTGGCAAAAGGAGGCAGGAGTCCCAAGGCGTGGATCCCCCAGGAACTGAAGCTCTTCAGAGATTTACTGAGAGACTTGTCAGGGCTCTGGGACTGCCTCAGTCCTGTGAGCCACTGCCCTGTGGCACCTGTGGGGTCAGATATCCCTGCCTTCCAAGCCCGTCTCCTCACTGATTAGCCGTGTACCTGGGTCTCAATTCCCCTATCTATCTATTGAGCAAAGTCATACTGACCTTACGTGTGACGATGATCAAGACACAAGACAATTAGGAATGGCAAGCAGATGATGAGAGAGTTGGCCCACAGAGCACAGTGGGTCAGCGAAGGACCCCTTGAATTCCCAGACCAGAGCTCCTTTGACTGTATGAGCAATTTTAAAGTGGGATTTGCATATGTACTATCAAGAGTCCATGAGTGATATGAGAAGCTTTTAAATTTGTTATTGTCATTTCAAAAACAAAAAATTATTAATGAGACTATTGGGGTTGTGGGTGGATGATCATGTTATCACCAAATAATGCCCTGGGATGCGCTGTGTACATTTGCATTTGGGTTTACTATCACATTTTTGCAAAACAAAAGCCAAATGACTTTATGGGCTGCTGTACAAACAAAGGTTTAGTGATTGTTCAAATAGAGATAAGTGAAGGGAGGATTGAGTCATCTAACAGCACAGGGGACACAGACAGGCCACAGGCAAGAGGCCTGGTATGGAAGCCAGCAGAACTCTAGTCACTGCTTTGCAAGTAGGAGCCTGAGCGAATGCCACCTCGGACTACAGCAGCCTGCAAGATGGCACGAACAGTAAAGCTTGCTTAATGTTATATAGTTTCACACATTTTAAGTGTGTCTTGGAGCAATCTCTTTCATTGATTGACCCATCAAAATTCCAGGTCTGTGTTTAAAAGTGTGCCCATTGTAATACATGAAAATAGAAGAACAATATTGATAATAACTTTAACGATGGCCCAGCATGTTCAAACGTCAAAACAATCTAGTTGATAACAAGCACAACTTAAAATGGGAATACATCCTTCTATTATTAAACCCAATGATGGTTATTTTACTTTCAGCAAAACATCATCTGTCACATTAAATTAATGCCATTAATTTGAATTTTAATGGTTTTGTAGTTTTATTTGCATTTAATTTGTAATTGTGTTTTGGTTTTATAGCTGTGGAAGAGCTAAAAGCATAAGGAATTTATACTTATTTTTATGTTTGTATATATTTAAGTAACAATATGATCAAAATAACATTAGTCAACACTGGGGGTCTGGGGTAATTTTTTCCCCATTGGAATGCATACATTAGTTACTTTAAGAATCACTGAGACTGCACTGCTAAATACGCAAGGGTGATTTAATTTTAAAAGTCCTAGGTACAGTTAGATTTGGCCCAATGCATTGTGGGAATGTCATATAGGGCAAAAATCCCCCAGGAATTTAGGTCTGCTAAGCCAGTTAGTCACCATCATGGACAGCTCAAGTGTCCTAAGCTCCCAATGTTCTTTTGTTCTCTTTCTGCTCTTCCTTTGCTGAGCAGTTCTCCAGGCTGATAAGCACTGAGTATCTGGACCAGGAATCACACCTGCACCTTGTCTGAATAGCTCTGCTGGAGGAGAGGTCCACAGCGTCCACCTGAGGGCCAGCTCCACACTTCCATCATTCTCAGGGGGCTGTGGCTGGCCCCAGAACACTGCAGGCAGGGACTAGATGTGTCCCAATGCCTGTCTATGCAACAGGCACTTTGTCATTACCTTCCATCCTCACATAAAAGCAGAGAAAAGAGAACCTGAGAAAAGCAGGTCACTTACCTGAGATGCAGGGCTGAGTTAGTGTCAGAGCAGAGACTTGAACCTGAGTCGATCAGACGTCAGAGCCTGGGCTCCTAACCACTGCACTCCACTGGCTCTCCTGGTACAGCAGCTGTGGGGGAAGGTAGACAAAGGCAGAGTGTGTGGCTGTGACTCAGGGAATTGCTAATCTTAAGCATTTAGAATTCGTTCTTCTATACAACAGGATGGGAATGGGACTCCTTCCACCGAAACCCTAAAGCTGGAGACAATGGTGACAAATACCCCATACCTCAAGTAAGAGCTGCCAGAATCCCTCCTGGTTTTGCTAAGAGGTGTCTCTACTGCCTCCTCCTCACCTCCTCAGACCACATACATCCAGTTTAAACAGAAGAAAGAAAATTATGCCAGCATCTGAGGGACCTTTGCATGTCTCTTGCCTTTTGCAAGCTAGTGGCAGGGACTCCAGACAGCCTCTTGTAGACAGGAGAGTGCCAACAGAGAACAGGGACCTGTACCTTCTCACCCCAGTTGGAACTCAGTGAACTGCACTTCCAGCCACAGATATTTCTGGAAGAGTCTATGACACATTCTGGGTTTGTGATGGGGACAGCCTCAGTGAGAATGAAGACTGAGCTTGTCCTGCCCAGAAAGCACAGAGAAGCAAGGTGGCTGGGTTTGGGGCTACCAAGGGCAGCCAGAGCAGTCTGCAGGCCACCTCTGCCATGGGAAGAGAACATGCACTTCCGTAAAGCCAAGGAGGCCATCAGGGACCAGCAGGCTCTAGGGCTGTGACGGGAACCGGGCCCAGGACTTGCCAGTCAAGGCAGAGGGAACATCTGCATGCACGTAATACCCACCATTGGGGTGCCTGCCTTGACTTTGAAAGCCAAGAGAGAACAGAGGCAGCGGTGGCCCTTCCAAAAGAGAGGGACTGCTTTCCTCCAGGCCTCCGCCCTTTCCCTGGCTCTGGAGAAACCAGAAGATGGCTGTGAATTTCCTAGGGCTGCCAAAACCACATACATCAAAGTAGGCGGCGTAGGGCACAGAAACGTGCGGTTCACAGTTCTGGCAGCTGGAAGTCCTACATCAGGGAGAGGGTGGGACGTGCTTCTCTGAGGGCTCTAGGGATGAATCCCTTCTTCTGCCTCTTCCAGCTTGGGGGTGGCCGTCCAACCTCCAAGACTCCAGTGTGAAAATGCGCAGCTCCGGGATCAGCAGTTAGCGTAATGGCTATGTCGCTGGACTCCCATGTAGTCGACCGCGGTTTGCGTCCTGGATCCGGTGGCTTAAACTCACACCGGACGCATGTGCGTGCGTGCCCAAGATCCCGAGAGGAGAATGGAGGAGAAGGGATTGCGGCGTGGCCATCTCCCCTGGGGGGTGATTTCTCGCTTTCTGTCTCTCTGTCTCTCTCTGTCTGTCTGGCGAGTGCACGCGCCCTATAGCAAAAACCTCTCCAAAAAAAAATGCACAGCTCCAGCAGCGGGTGTATTCTCCCTGTGATCATGGCCCGTCTCCCTCCATGCCTGTCTGCTGGGTGCCTAAATGTCCCCTTTTGATGAGGAAACTGGTCATCCTGGATAAGCCCCCCGCAGGACCTCATTTTACCTTCCTCACCTCCATGTTCACATCTGGCAGACTCCGAGGCACTGGGGATTAGGACTTCAGCATTTTTTTGGGGGGGGGTTGGGTGGAGGGGGAGTGGGAGCAGTGGGAGCACAATTCAGTCTTTATCAGTGGACATGAAGGAGGTGAGAAAGAACTCACTACAACCAGGCCCCTGGCCACCACAGGTCTCCACATGCAAACAAGCTTGGGCCAAGAGGGGACACTTTGAAAGAGGATGTCGAGGGAGCCTGGACATGGGCTGGACGGGACTTTTTCGTTTCTGAGCAGACAACCTATCTATTCCAGAACACCAGCATGTGCCTGCGATGGCGTGGGTGGGGGTGGGGGAAATCCAGCCCGGCATATTGGAAAGCATGAGGGAGAACAATCAAGCCATTTCCTGTTCATACCCCATCGAGTTCAGCCCATTGCGTATGTGTTATATATACAAGAGGCAACTAGGGACTGAAGCGGCACCATGGAACATCAAGTGAATTAAATCAACTGTGGGGGAAAATGCACACAGAGAAAGTACCAAGATGGTCGGGGAGGGGAGACCCAGCCTGGGCCCCTGCAAGACACAGGTGCAGGTGGGCCTGGAAAGGTGAGTGGCTCTGTCAGGTGCACGGAGTGCTAAGGGGAGGGCACGACCTGTGTGAGCAGAGGCACCGAGCCTGACCCAGGGCCAGGGCTGGAGACTGCCTGGATGCCAGCCCGGAAAGGTCTACGACCCTCTTAAAGAACTTTTATGTCCCCCATCCAGGGCGGCGGATGCAGATTTTATGCATGTCTGCAGGAGGCTAAAACTGTCTTCAAACACAAAATTATAATGATCAGATGTCTGTCTCAGGGATGGGAGCATTTCCTCAAGCTGAAAGAACTCAAGCAGACAGTGCCAGCAGTGGATTATAAATAACCCGCTACCACTTCGCTCCTTCCCATTGCCGAGGCTCCTGGCCCCAAATCTCTTTCTCCCATTTGGCAAGATCCCAGGTGGGTTTTAATGAACAGTTTTGCTTTCTTGGGTGCATGCTGCATGCATCCAGGTTTTCCACATCTCAAAGATGTACTTCTTTCTCTTCTCTCTTGACTTTTGAGCAAAGCAGATTCTTGAGGATCTTGGGAAGTTGGAGACCCTAGAAAGGTGCCAGGTACCACCCCTAAGAATGGAGTGCTTAGAGAAACCACCACTGCGAAGAGCAGCCCAGAGCTGATGAGCTTCTCTATATTTCTCTTTTTTTTTTTTTTTTTTTTTTGAGTGCTTTTTTTCTATAGTGT